TCTTCTTCCCTGTTCCCAGCACGACCATCTGCAGCTCGTTCTCCCCCTGCATCAGCTTGGGAAGAGCCGCGCACAGCACATCCGAGCCCTTCTGTTCCTCTAGTCTGCCGATGAAGGCGAGCAGCGGCACGTCCGGACGAACAGGTAGCCCCACCTCACCCTGGAGAAGCTCCTTCAGTCCAGGCTTGACTTCCAGAACGTYGGAAACGTCGTAATTGACTTCAAGGTACCTGTCGGACGCGGGGTCCCACTCTTGCACGTCCATCCCGTTCACGATGCCGAGAATACCCCTCCTCTCCACCACGTAATTGAGCTCCATGCCCTTGTCTTCCCCAGAAACCAACTCCTTGGCATAGTTAGGGCTTACGGTGAGCAGCATATCTGCCTCCTCGAAGCCTGCCTTCATCCAGTTGATCTTGGGTCCAACGACAGGCTTCTTGTATCCGTCAAGAAAGCTGAAGGAGGGCCTCAGCTCCTCCCCGAGGTTGAGGAGGTCGAAGTCCGCCGCAGCAAAACGGCCCTGATAAAGAACGTTGTGCACGCAGAAGGCAACCTTGGCGTTCAGGAACTCCCCGCGCGGTCTGTACTTGCTCTTGAGGTAGCAAGGAACAAGCGCGCTGTGCCAGTCATTCGCCACAAAGATCACATCCTCRCCATAGGGACCCTGGAAGCGAGGGTTGCTGCTGTCGTTGAAGGTGAGGACTCGTACAGCCTCAATGGCCGCCTGATTGAACAGACTGAAGCGYAGCTGATTGTCGGGGTAATCTTTGCCAGTTGTCTCTCCGTAGATCTTGCTGCCCGTTTTGCCCCATACCTTGGCGAGGAAGAGAGGATGGTCCACGAAAACTCGGTCGACCCCACGTTTACGGCAGTGGAAGAACCGCACRGTCTCGGTCCTCCCACCCACCACAACGTCCGCCGTGACATCGGTGTCCCAAGCGTCCCTGTACTGATCATAGCGAGGAGCCACCGTCATCACCCGATGGCCACGRGCAACAAGCGCGGCCGGCAATCCAGCCAATACATCGCCGAGGCCACCCGTCTTGCTCCAGGGTCCTACCTCAGCCGAGACAAACACGAGCTTCATCCCCGTCTCGCAAGAGACAACCCCTCTGCTGGGACGCRTTGTCGAGGGGCRACGCAGCGAMTCCRTCYGCTCTGCAAAGGACAGGCTTCTCGTGCCGCCAAGAGGAGACACAAGATAACCTTTGCARCAGCGCAGGCCATKGAATGCGTTCAGACCAGGCAASGCGATCCTGYATGGGCTCCGGGCATCGACGTCAGAAGAGAGAGGCGAAACACGGGCTGGGCACACGTCGTGACAAGTGGCCATCGTCGCGGCGCAGGACGAAGGGSAAGAATCATGGCGTAATGACGAARTGGACGAACCAGAGACAGCGACGTACAATTGGCCTGCGGGAGCAGACAAGGACGCCGCCGCCATATCCGTAGCTTGTGTAGCGTGTTGAAAGCTTGACGAGCACCACTCTCTCTCTCCCAGGCGCACAGAAAGAAAACCCGTCACGCTATAATTACGTAGGCTTAGAGCAGTCACACATTCGTCCAACACCAACAGCCACAGGAGGATCACCACTACGCTCTGAAAGACTGATGGTTGCGGCCAAAATCTCCCTCAGTGCACCTCGCGCCAGAAGGGGAACACCTCAGTCGTTTCTCGTCCGTCCTTCTATCCGTCCTTCAATTCTCTCCCCAACACCTGTTGTCCAGACCGCACAGGACCCTGCAAGGAAGCAATCAAAGGCAACGATTTATAAGAAAAATGCTTTCGAGCATCAAGGAAAATCGAGCGGCGCCGCTCGATCGATAATAAGTGTACATACCTCTTTAATACCCCTTCATTCGTGACAAATCGCAACGAATTTAGGATTGGAGAGTGAGCCGCGTGGCGCTGCCAGGTGCGAAATCTCGTCGTCGGCATCAGTGGGGCACTGAGCCACGTGATTCGACCACCAGGTGCGAATGTTTTGTGGGCATCAGCGGTCGCTGGCCCGGGCGCGGTCCGATCGACAGATGATTGTCTTTGGGGAGCTGGGGGAGGAGGGGAAGAAACGATCGCATTAAATTTGTTGATGCGCTATCGATCGCCTTCTTTTTTTCTTCCTCCCAAATTGTTTCGGGTAATGGCCACTTTTGTTTTCGATTTGCTTTCGTAATCGGAACTAATTCTGGCCAACTATTTTCTAACGAATTCAATACTTCGAAAAAAAAAAGGAAAAATGATCTTCAGTGTTTTCCGAGATATCTCGCCGAAAACAATGATCTTCAGTGTTTTCCGAGATATCTCGCCGGACTGTGCCACGGGGATGGAAGACAGGACGAAATTGAACGTGACGGAAAGTGCCCAGAAAAAAAAAAAAAAAAAAAGAATATGCGCAAAAATAACAACAAACGCAACGAGAATGTGCGGGAAAACTTGAATAAGATGATGAGATGATGTTTCCCGCACGTGTGAAAGACTTGCGATTCCCCTGTATCCTAAATCCTGTAATTCCCCTGTATGCTTAATCCTGTTTCTGTTTTTTTTTGTAACAGAAAAAAAAAGGTCTTCCGAAACAAAGCGGTTCTTAGTTCGTTCCTCTTTTCCCGTTCTTCTATTTTGAGAGCAATAGGAATTTATTGATTTATTATTTTTTAACTCGACCGAGCGGAGGGCCGTCACACAGTAGTTACACATGGAGAGAGAGAGAGAGAGAGAGAGAGAGAGAGAGAGAGAGAGAGAGAGAGAGAGAGAGAGAGAGAGACAAACAGACAGACAGACAGAGAGATAGAGAGAGAGCATCTGCTTCCTCTTCTTCTTCTTCTGCTGCTGCTGCTGCTGATAGTAGTAGTAGTAGTGCAACATCTCCTGCGACAGGATTTTCGCCACATAGAGAAAGAACAAAACGAGGACGTTGAGAAATAGGAGGAGAAGGACGAGATGCCAGCCAAAACTGCAAGAAAAGAAGTCGTAAAGACGAAGGACAGAAAGAAGATACCAGGTGGTGGTGGTGGTGGTGGTGGTGGTCGTGTGTGGGAATAAACGCCATACCTTTCAGGTAAGCTGCACATGCCACACGCTCACGCTACTGCGTCTTCATTCACCGGCCTCATCATCACCAAGCGAGAACCTCATATACTCCATCGATGTGCCCCCCTCCTCTCCTTTATTTTTTTATTTTTTTTTCGTCCCGCCGTTTGTTCTCCTCTCTTTTCTCATTCTCCTCTTCATCTTGCTCTTCTTCTTCTTGTCGTCCTCGCACTTCTCGGGCTTGGGGCCAACCGGTTCATCAACCGCCGCAGCTGCATTGCCCATCGCGCTCGACGATACCCCGTCGTCAGCCCCTGCAGAACCGGATGCAACGCCAGGGTCAACCCCTGCAGACCCGAATGCAACGCCAGGGTCAACCCTTGCAGACCCGAATGCCACGCTAGGGTAAACCCCTGCCGAACCGAATGCAACCCGCTGCCCCTCCGCTTGCTCCACTCCTTGGGCACACCATTCACCAACACCTGCGCAACTAACTACCAACGCCATCGGCGGTGACAACCACACCCCACTCCTGCGCTCAGGGCCGTCGACCCTCATGCCGAATGGGAAACCCAGGGCGGGGCCTAACGATAGCCCGTCACGCATCCGTGCACCCTTCCTCCAGAAAAAGAGGAGCAAGCCACCAGTACTTGGCCAGGCTTTTGGCTACGGAAAAAAAGTAGAGTAGAAACGCTTCTAGTCGGATGAATTTGGATGAATTTTGGGCGCTCCTGTAGTGGCCCGTACGTTTCCTAAAATCGCCTAGACTTTAGGAAGTACTAGTTAGCGCCTCATCCCACCGTTACGGTAAGAGGCTGATCCCACTATGATTTTTTACCAAAAAGTCCTAAAAGTCCCTTGAAAGTAGGAGAAGTGCCAAACGTTTCGTAGGGAAAAAGTGGGATCCCATAGGCCCGGACTTCTTGGCGCTTTCCCGATTGCGTCCCCGAATTTCGATGGCCGTGCACGGCTCCAGCGGAGACACCCAGTCTCCTTGTGTGCAAATGAAAGACCGCCTTCACAAAAAAAAAAAAAAAAAAAACCTGAAAACTTGCCTACTTTTTGGGGGAAGGGTAGGGCGTCACGGGCTCCCTGCAGTTTCCTACCAACTTCGCGCCGCGGGTCAAGGCCGTGGCGACACGCAAATTTCCATGAGTAGAAACAGCCATTTTCTGTTGCACTGCCATAGGACGGGGAAGTTGGGGAAACCATATGGGATCCCCCCTTTTTCCTAAAAGCTCTGCTGCTAAGAGGCTGATCCCGATATGCACTTTTACCAAGCCATTTTCTGTTGCACTGCCATAGGACGGGGAAGTCGGGGAAACCATATGGGATCCCCCCTTTTTCCTAAAAGCTCTGCTACTAAGAGGCTGATCCCGATATGCACTTTTACCAAAAAGTCGTAAAAGTCCCTTGAAAGTAGGAGAAGTGCCGAACGTTTCGTAGGGAAAAAGTGGGATCCCATAGGCCCAGACTTCTTGGCGCTTTCCCGATTGCGTCTCTATGGCCGTGCATGGGTCCAGCGGAGACACCCGGTCTCCTTTTGTGCAAAAGAAAGACCGCCTTCACAAAAAAAAAAAAAAAAAAAAAACGAAAACTTGTCTACTTTTTGGGGAAGGATAGGGGGTCACGGGCTCCCTACCGTTTCCTACCAACTTTGCGCCGCGGGTCAAGGCGGTGGCGACACGCAAATTTCCATGAGTAGAAACAGCCATTTTCTATTGCACTGCCGTCGGACGGGGAAGTTGGGAAAACCATATGGGATCCCCTGTTCTTCCTAAAAGCTTTGCTACTGAGTACTGTGGGATCAGGTACTAAGGGTCTGATCCGACACTACATACGGAAGACGAATCCGTAAAAGAAACGAAAAAGGTGGGGCCGGTCCATTCGGGCCGTAAAAGAAAACGAGGACCCCACTGGCCCGTATCGTTCGCATCATTGACGTGTGTTTCGGCGGTTTATGGGGCTCGTTCGACACTCCTCGGGGCTTCCTCGGGCCCCAAGGACGATTCCTCGGAGTGGTTGGGGGGTTTTGACGCCTTCGTTCCACTCATCCTCGGAGTCGTCCCCCGAGGACGATTCCTCGGGGCTCCCGCGGCCAGATGTATATGCGTATTAACGGCCGCGGGGTGTGGGTAGGGCGGCTGGTCTTCATTTGTGTCGTCTGGATTGCCGTGGTCCAGCTTTTCGGGCCGCCGTCCAAGAAATGACGTCGTTCGAAAAGAAAAAAAGGGCCTTCGGGAAGGCGCGCAAGGGACGATTTCAAAATTTGAAAATTCGAAATGTGCGCGTGCGAGTGGAGGCGGGCGACGGACGTCAGCCGTGCGGAAGAGGGCGGGG